AGAAGCTATATGAGATCATGAGTATGTTAAGTTGCTTGACTGTAGTACAATATATACTTATCCTATATTACTTAATAATACTTAGAATAAGTTTAACAAAGAACTGCAAGATGTGTACACTGAAAACTATAAAATATCATTGCAAGAAAGTAAAGAAAAAATAAATGGAATGATATTTCATGTTCATGGATTAGGAGACTTGCTATTTTTTAAGATGGCAATAACTTAAATTAATAATCTAATTGAACACATTCTCTATCAATATCCCAGCTGCCTTTTTTCCCCACAAATTGACAAGCCAATCTTAAATTTCATTAGGAAATATAAGTAACCCAAAAGAGAGGATAGATGGCCTCTACACACTGCTTGCATCATAATCACATGGGGTATTTGTTTTAAAAATGCAAATTCCTGGGCCCCTCCCCAAAATTACATAATCACAATCCTAGAAGTGATGTTCAAGTGTTTTAAAAATGTTCTCAGCTGAGCACCCAGTCGTAAAACAGAGCATAAGTTATTTGGGTTTGTAAGATTCTCAGTGGTATTAAATAGAAGATAGCCTTAGTGAGAAAGATAAACAAAAGAAAACACAAGCCATAGGTTAATACTTGGTGGAAGAACAAGTGGAAGAGCACTGAAGCATACTTCCAGAAACACCCTAAAACTGAATTTAATCAATGGAATATTAAATACTGGCCACATGAATTTTGGAAACATCTGCCAAACAATAGAAACTTATGTTGAGATTTTTGTTGTACCACTGGTCACAAATAATTATCTCTTGAGTTCATGATAATAAACTATACTCACAGAATCAATTATCTCTTGAGTTCATGATAATAAAGTCAAATCATCAGTATAACAGACAATGTTTACTTTTCTGTTTGCTGAGTATATGTTCATCTAAGCTATGGAAAGGAGCGTGAATCACTGAATCATCCATTCTTCTATTTGATAAACGAAAAAGCCCGGACAGATTAAGTGGGTAGGTATATATGACAGAGTCAGGATGAGAATCTAGGTATTTTAGAGTTCTAACCCAGAATTATTTTCAAGAGACATACTTCTTCCCTTTAAAGGTCTGTAACATAGGCATAAATATGCTGTACACATAGAGTTATATTACATAGTCATGTAATCTATTTTCCCATTTTAACTCTGATCTAGACATGCTATAGGAGCAATGCCTTTGAATAAGTATTTCATTAACAATTATTCTGCTTGCCTTTCTGAAGATTAAAAGAACTTTTTTGCTAGATAATTTAATGGCTTAGTCTCTTAACAGTTATTCATGAAAATTTGAACTGATGCTATCATTTTCCTTCAAAAAAGTTTCTAATCTCAAAAAGAGTAAATCTCTTAAAAAAGAGAAAGTATAATTACACAGCATTTATAGACATGCCTGAGAGCTAAAAGTTTACAAAATTTCAAAGAATTTCTTGATTTTTAAAATTTTGTCTTATGTCCCCTGAATAGAACCTGGAAGAATGAATAGGGTTTAGTTTGAACACAAAGCTAATAACATTGTTGCTTTTGACAATACTATACTTTTCAATATTTGTTTTTCTGTCTTCTATTGAAAATTTATTCAAGATTGCCTCTTTCTGCACCGAATTCTTCTATCAAATATTCTTATGAATTTGTTCATGTATCTTGATGACATTTTTTTTGGATGTGGAGCTATCCTCAAACATCCACTAACACATGGCTAAGAAACCGCTTCAGCCTCAGGCTTAGAAATGTTTTATTTCATCTTTATCTCCACTTCATAATACAGTGCTTGAGAAATTTTCTAAGTAAATATTGGTTGAATAAATGATTTCTCCCTATGGGTCAATGATTTTTTTTTCTAGGCCAGCTTACCAATATATAATATCACACACAATCAGCAAATATAAAAAGATATAAAATTTAAAACACACACAGAAAAAAATATTTTAAGTGGCAAGTACAATTTTGATTTTCTGGAGTTCACCATATATAATCTTTAATGATATAGGAGAATTTTACCAGACCTACATATGTGTGTATAAATATAAATAGCTAAGTATGAATGTATTACTCATTAATCAACTTAGTAAAAAATATTATATTCAAACATTTAATAAACCAGTTTTGAATTTATGTTTTGCTATTCATGTTCTACTTGTACATTTAGCAGACTACTATAACATGAACAACATAATTATGCAATGAGAGCTGTATCATGTAGTGAAATCTAATTACCGTAATGAAAATAGCAATTACAATGAATTCTGTGCTAATTTTAAGTACTAGCATTGCTATAAATACTTCGACTCTGATGTTAAAATGTTTTCCCTTTATAAAACTTGGATTACAAGAGAAAAGCATACAATGTTAATGGTGTTCAGATTGAGCAGTCTCTAATCTGAAAAGCCAAAATCTAAAATGGTCCAAAATTCAAAACTTTTGAGAGCTGACATGATACCACAGTGTACCTTTTATTCAAAACACGACATTGTAGGTGAAGACTAAAATACTGCCATTTGTTGTTGCGATTATTTAACCGCTGATACAGGTATTCTGGTGATGTTACTGTGCTGCTTAGTTCCTTGAGCACATTACTTTTTCACTGTATTAATGGTATGTCATTTCTTTTGACTGTTAAGTACTTATGTGTGAAGAAGTATGAGAAAGTGCTTGCTGATGAGTAGCATTTAAATTCACGGTCAAGAATGATGGATGGCGATGCCAAACAACCACAGACTGTCCTGACACCTTTGCCATCTGGTGGTTCAGTGAACACACTTTGTTTCATGCACAAAATTATTTAAAATATTGTATAAAATTATCTTTAGGCCATGTTTATAAGCTATCCATGAAATATAAATAAATTTCATGGTTCTTGGGTTCCATCCCCAAGATCATGTATACAAAAATATTCCACAATCTGAAAAAAAATCTGAAATCTGAAACACTTCTGTTCTCAAGCATTTCAGATAAGGAATACTCACCTTGTATTATAGAATAGATTATTTTCAATAATGTTGTATAAGCACATAAGTTGTTTTTAATGTTTAAACAATCTATGATTGTGTTTATCAGTTACCATAACGTTACTGGGAATACTTAGACATATATTCCCTTAGAATAAAGATTATTCGAGTTATTGTAAGAAATAAAAACAAATTCAAGAGCCTCTGTTGCAGCAATTAATGAGTGACACCAACATTTTCTTATAAACAATTGCAGTTGATATTTTTTGCCATCATATGGAATATACATTCCCTAGAGAGATTATCTTGGCATCCTCTAGTTTATAGTTCCAGAAATATTTTACATTTAAGCTGAATATAGTGCCTTGATGATCCCTATAGCTAGGAATATACCATCTTTTCCTTTTCCCTATAAAATAATGTGCTTTTTTTCCTGAAGAAAATGATGAAAAAAGTAATGTTTTTAAAAATAGGGAACTTAAGGTTACAGTCTTCTCCAAACCTCTGCCTACCAAGCCAGGTATGTCAATATAGGCAAACACAAATGGATTCATGTGTTCTATCTATACAGTATATAGAAAAAAAAAAACACACATTAGAGACATATTTTGCTCTGCTCAAAAAAGAAAGGAAACTCTATGTCTTTTTTTCAAGGACACCTTGGAAAGTTTTTCTCTGGAATTAGTAATGAAATGATCCTTTGCCAAACAAATCAGAAAAATGGTCACCTTTATTAGTTAAACCCATGTAATCATCCAAAGTTAGATAATAAAGACAGAAGGGAATTTACTAGTTTAGACTCGAATCACAAAACATGCCTTACTTAAGATTCACTTTTATGTTTAATGCCTGTTATACAGAAACTTTCATAGAGTACAGATACAAAGAAATCTGAGACAAAAAATGAAGTGTCATAGCTAACCCACTGAATTGTAGATATCTGTCCCAATTTTCTTTGTCATTAATTAGGAGAAAAGCACAAATTGAGATTGGGTTTAGATATAATAATATGAAATTTGACTTATGAATAGGGTATGCTTTATTAACCAAACTTTGTAGTAACACAAAATCAAATTCTAGACTAATAGAAAACTCAGTTTCTTTAAAATATACATAATTTCCAATTTTCTAGTCTCACATAAATGCAGTAAGAACAACTTTATCTCTTCAAGAAGAATAAAGTCTTCCTGCATACTTGTGCTGATTTGACTGTATGCAGTATATGCAGTTCTATAAACATAGTTTCATACTTAATACTGGCTTGTGATATAAAAATAAAAATATAATTATTTTATGCCCTACTGCTTGTGTTTTTTCCCTGCCTTTCTCACTGTTTGAAGTTCCTTCTCTAGCAGTTTTTCTAAGTTCATGAATTTCAAGAATTGTATAAACCAATATGTTTGCCTTCTAATAAGCCCCGAGGCATCTACCCTTTCTTTTCAGAGTATCGAAAAACACTGCCCCTGCTTCCTCAAGACTCAAATTGCACTAGAACCTATCAGAAAACTAAGAGGCCAGGGAATCAGAGTCTAAATGAAGCCTGCTTTTAGCTAGCTATTTTGTCACTCATTTTTGAAGTTTGATTCTAGTATATAATATTTCTTATAAAATAGGCTAAGTTTTTTCAGCTCCATTAGAAGTTCATTTTAAAGGTTTTGCCTTCTATTCTCCTGAAGTAGTCTTCTCTATTGGTTCAGGATTTTCAAGTTTCTGTTTTCATTCATCTTTAGACTTTATAAATGGGGAAGATATACAGTAATTCATACTAAAACAGCTAAAGGAAAATTTAAATTTGATTCAACTAGTCTTATAGAACTTGGAAACCAAATCAATCAGACTCTCACAGCTAGTGGATACAAATTAAAGACTGTTTAATGTCAATTTATTTGATAATAGTTTGCCAACATATTCATAAGTTGTATTATAAGCTAAATAGATAAAATACAAGAAAATAAATCAAATATAAATGGTAAAGTAATTTTTAGGAATAGTAAAAGATACTATACTACTAATGGAAGATGTATAAAAATAAACATATTTTACCTGGAATCATCTTGTGAGAATCTCCTTTGCAAATCCTTTTTATTCCACTGTTCTTTTTCTTTCCCTTGCTCAGGTAAATCTTGTATTTTTTCCTCGTCTCCTGATTCTCTGTTTTTCTCCTCATTACACATTTTTGTAATCTCTTTCCCTTGCCCATTCTCATTAATTCCTTCTTCTTTTACCTCTTCCTTCTCATGAACTATCTCTTCAAGCTTATCCCTTTCTTTCCCTCCCTCTTCTATGCCCTTTGGTCTTTTGAAAGCAACACAATGGAAGGCATGCAAATAAAGACAAAGAAAAAAAAAGAAAAGAAAGAAAGTCAAGAAAAAATACATACAAAATTAAACAGAAAGCAGAAAGGTAATGAAAACTTTCAAAACATAAGTAAAAATTATATCTTTTAAACACTGAAAACTTTTTTCAGTGTATACCAGAGAACTGTGTAAGCAAAATCACATTTACCTTTTACAAATTTAGAGGTAAAAAAGGCAAAAGTTGTGGTCTATTATAGATTTTTAAAAATTTAATAGGTGTAAAAATATGATTTAGCTTAGATGTCCATAAAATCTATAGGACAAGGGAGAAATGCAAATTATATTTATAAATTTTCTCAAGAGGATGAGAAATTTTCCATGCTTTTATAAAAATTTCAGGAGGATGGGAAAACATCCTACTAAAAAAGTAATATTCTTATGTTTTCTGAATCACTGAAATGTATTCAGGTAGGAAGAAAAAGCCCCTCCAAAATATTATTGTTCATATTCCTTGGAACATTAAAACATTCAAGTCTCACTTAACCATCACTTTAATTTCATAAAGATATAATAACAATATTAATTTTTAAATTATAAATATGAAAAAAATTATTTCAAGTAAACTAGTAAGCAAAATTGTCAACAATTCCATACAATTTTTTCTGTGCAAGAAGTCTAAAATGTGGATTAATGGAGTTTACTGCTAAAGTTTACTGCCTCTTACCTGATCTTCTTGTTTCCTCTTGGCCGTTCTGATTGGACAGACATGTAGCTTGTGCTGCTGAAACGAGAAGCACTACTAGTCCTTGAAACCGCAGATATATCACTTACATCACTGTCCGAAGATTTAGTGGAAATGTTATCTGCCCCTCTATGAGGATCCCATCCTGATCGATACTGTTAACACAGATTGACAAATACGCAGAAGTTGTCAGTATTACCACACAAAGCAATTATTAGCTTTCTCCTATTTCAGCACTTTAATTGTCCACAGAGGATACTGCAAAACCCTACTCAGTTGCATATAAAACAAAAGTGAATGGCAATTATCCTAAAAGAAAAATTTAATTTATATGAAACTCTTGTTTTTAGCAAAGTAATTAGAACATTTTCACCACGCCCCAAGGAAGGCCATTAAAATAGTTTCAATACAGCACTGGCCTTAGGAAAGAACATTTAGCTAAAATCTGGGAAATAAACATTTGGCTTAATATTAGGAAGTAGAATTTTTTATTTTTGAATAAAATTAAGAAAAAAACAGTATGATAAAATTGCCATTGTAACTTATAAAAACCAATTCTAGTAGCCATCAGTTTTTTTCTTTAATCCATTATGCTTCTCTGAAAACCTAGAGATAATATAAAATCTAATTATTAAAACACTAACTCTTTTTAGAAAATCTAAGAGAAAAAAGAAAGTTTAATTTTTGAATGGTTGCTGGAATTTTGATGAATCCTAGAAATACTAGAAAAAGTAATTATTTACAATAGTTTAAACTTCCTGGAATTGAAATAATCAGATGGTTAATGGGCACAGCCAGGGTGCAGAGTATTCTTGAGTGCTCAAATATTCTGGTAAATTGAAAATCATCATAAATGTTTTATGTTAATGACCTACTCTCACAAAATACATATAATGCATAAACTAATGCACCAAATTTAATTTAATTGTTGACAACAAGAGATCATTTGCTAACAGTTCTCATATTAGGATGTAAAAAGTATAGACTCTAGAGTCTAGAAAACCTCGAGTAAGCAAAACTCTTGCTAACTAGGTAAATTTGATCAAATTATTTAATACTTATAAGCCTTCTTAAATAATAAGGATAATAATACCTTCTTTGCAAAGTTGCTTTGAAAATTAGAATTAAGACATGTGTGGTATCTAGCATGATGTAAATAAAAGTAGCCAGTATCATTACTGTATTATTACTACTTGGCAGTACTACAGTATTCTTACTATAAACATCAAATATGGCCATTATTGAGTTAAGAGAATATTTGATAATAGATTTTTCTTTATTCATATGCACTTTAAACATAATATTGAAACATCCTTATCTAGTTAATTTTGGAATAGAGAATTTTCTAGATACTGACAAATTTCACAAAGAGGTGCTTATATAAACCACTTGCTATGATTTGAAGAATCATTACCTAATAAACAATCCTCCATGAATAACAATTCATTGCAAATATAAATAGGCATAAACATTTTGGCCAGGAAAAACTGGATGGCAGCAGAGCATAATTTAAACATTAGATCCTGATCTGTTGTTTTTATTTTTTTCTAGGACTTCCCAGTATCTATATATATTTTGGTTAATAACTGACCCTTTTTTCAAATGTAAGATAAAGGGATTATTTCTAAAGCTCCATAAATTTTTTATCAAATCTATTAATCTTGCAATATACATTCAAATTAGGTGAGAATTAGCCTTTCTTAGTCCATTTCAATATTCTACTTTGTTAGATAAACTCTCAATTGTCAAAAAGCATACAACAAAATTCTTCTAAAAATTGTTGCCTATTCCCACGAAATATCTATTTAACTAGAACTGTAGTGTTTGATTTTAAAGGGAATATTATTTTTTTTACAGTAGATTTATTTGGAGAAAATTTAACTCATGATATTCTTTTACAATTAAAGTCATTTTAAAATACAAAAAAAAAATTCGCTTTAAATGACAATGTCTTAAACCATTTCCTAGAAGAGCATTTCAGTGTGTGGAGCCACCATTATCTATGCTACCTATCTACCTGTCTAATATATTGTACATACATATAAAATAAATTGTATGTTTATATATTTTTCACTAAATTTAATTCGATCTCAAGGTGAGACAGATATGAAAGTCTTTCATTTTCTTTATATATTTTCTGGGCATTTTATTTATATAAAAATCAAAGTTTTGAAATTTTTCAAAGCTATAAAATTGTTCAATAGATATTATACTGTATTTAGGGGACATTTTTCTTTCTTATTCTCAAAATTATATGAATAGAGAAGCAGTCTGCTACTATTTCTTTCAAAATACTTTATAATTAGGTAGAAAAACAGTTTGGGTATTATATTTCTTATTTACTTTTGCTCATGGGACTATTAAATCCTCTGAATTAACATGAAAAACTGTAAGTTTTGACCATGGAGGCAGTAAGGGTAATAATGTAATCATCAAGAGGCAATGCTCTGGAGTGAGACTGAATCATTGGTCTGAATTCGAGCTGCGTTAATTATTAGGTTTGTGATCTTGGATCAACTGCTATGAGTCTCAGTTTTTCATCCGTTAAAATAAGGGCAACAACTGTATTCATCTTCTAGGTTTGCTCCAAGGATTAAAGAAGATAATGCATGTAAAGCACTTAGCACAATATATGACACACAACAAGAATTTAATAAATGACAAATGATGACAATGATGATGATTAGATAAATAATAGGTGAACACTGGTTTAAATCAATTTCAGGAATATCTTTAGCTAAAGAAATATTAGATAGAAATAGTTAACAATAAATATATAAACCCAACTTTACCACTGACTCCTAGCATGTCCTCAGGCTGCACCTTTCCCATTCAGCCAGGTTCATCTACATCCCATCACTTTGTAGGGAAATAATGATTCCCAACTGCAGGATGAGGAATAGCTTTAACTCAGCAGGAAATACATATGACATTTTTTGGCTGACACAGAACATACCTCACTTTAAATATTTATCTTGGTACGTCTTCCTGTCCCAAAACACCTGGCACTTTTGTATCTCATTGCTTCCCTGATTGGTTCTTGTCCAATCTGTTTTGCCTTTATTTCCGAACCTTAACAGCTTACTTGACTTTTGAATTTCAGTAGTTAGGATTCTGATTTTGCCTGCTCTAGCCATTGTCTTTTTAAGTCTGTCATGACTTTTAGTCCTGTTGCTATTATTCATAGGTTCATACAGGTTAGTTAGCCTAAGGCTAAAGAATTTGTTTAATTTTAAAAGCACATGTAAGCATGGTGTGCATTGTATATAACTTTGAGATCTGTCAGATAATTCAGTTGGCTAAGCTCAAATTTTAGATACGCAAAATTCAAGGAAAGATTCCCCATACTACAGTTTTATGCCTTTTATGTACTGCATCATATACTACTTTGTAATAGGGCTTTATATGTGTGTGTATGTGTGTGTAAATATGTTCATGTTTAATTTTCAAATCCTTTATTAGAATATAAACTCCAGAAGCCCAGGACAATATCTTCCTCACCTTTGCATCTCTTTCAGCACTTAAGAGTTAAAGATTTAATTTTATTTTTAGTTAAATTAAACTCTGAGGTTTAGCCTTCTTACCAGTAAGATAAGGGTAAACCCTATTTTAAGAATTCTTGAGAAATATATATTCAAAATACCCATGTAGCATGCTTAGCAAATAGTAGAGGCTTATTTCCAGTGTCTACAGCAGAAGGTCATTAAATAAAAACACTGAATGAAATAGTTTATACAAAGAAAGAATAGAAATTAACTAAAAGCTCTAGTTTGATGATGATTCTGTTATCTACTTAAGGCTTGTACCAAATGTATTTCTCTGTTGACTTCTAAGCAACTGAGCATGTTTACCATTAGGATATAGCTCAAGCTTCCATTAAAAATAGACATATAATTAAAAGAATGGGAAATGTGGACAGTGAGAAAGAATATAAAAAATATTTTTATAAATAAAATTTTAGAAGAATATTTTGAACATATTTAGAATATAATATCTTCACATATACAACTCAAAATAAGCCCCAAGAAATTTAAGCATGAAATGTCCTAGTACTAGAGTTTACATTAAAAATAGTCAAATGTAGTTTTGCTTTATCTAAAGTATGAGAAATAAGTTATATACTTTAACAGTGAGATAGACGTGGCTAAATTATTATTATAGCAAGGTAATGAGCCATGAATGTGAATAAGTAAATTCATTTATTTAGGAAATGGTTGGTGTTGTCTTGGCACTATTCAATACATAATATTTTAAATAATTAGCATATACTAGAATACAGTTGACAGCTGAACAATGAATGATATGGTCATCATTCTTTTTATTGGAATAAAAACAAAAATTTACTGCATAGGATTACATGATCTCAGCTGAAAACTGCTCTGACTAGAGAACATTAAAATCTTGGAAGAGAGTGGAGAAGCTTTTCCCGAAAACATTTTGATGTTTTGTACATTACTATTAAGCAGATCATGAACTAGAAAAATTTACAGGAAATGATTATTCTTCAGGATGTTCCAGACTCTAAAGAGTTCCTAAGTGCCTAGGAAAATGTAATGTTCTTCCTCTAGATCTAGCATTAGTGGAAAATAATAGCATATCTGCAAAGCTCTATTGAAAAGAAGGCTATTATTAACATTCTAGAATGAAATACTTAAGAAAAAGCTAAAGTCAAATTGTTAAAATAAAAATTCCATTTTCTCCAGTATCCTCATTTGAAGTTCTTAGGTTAGGTAATTTCCTACTTGATTTCTCTACAGCATCTTGGCAACTCTTGTTGTTTGAGCTTCATACATAAACTTCTCAGACAAAAGAGACGGGTGAAATTATGAGAGTTTTCTTAAACACTGCATATCTTCAATTTTATAAATCTCACTAGATAACTGCCATTTGTTGTCTAAAATACTATTTCAAAAGTTGATTGTTTCAAAATACTGGGCATTAAAAAACCCAATTTTGAAGAAAAATAAGTTTTATGCTATCAAGAAATACTTGGAGGGATATTCATATATTATTCAGGGAAGAAATACACAGAGTTGATAAAAAAAATAGGGAAAAAACCAGGGCAAACATAATCTTTGGAAAAGAAAGGGAAGTCTGAGGTTCTGTGCAGGGCTCTTGCTGGGGGTATAGAGGAGAAGACAGAGGCAGAGGGAGT